CTCTAACCAATTATACAAAAATCCATTTATTTTTAAAAAAGAAACTCAAAATTTAATAATTTGGTGAACATTATTAATTTACTAAAAAGGAATGGTGGCGCCGGAAAGTGACGGTAGTAGGGTCAGTCATTTACTCTTTTGCAGCGTTTTTCCCCCAAAACCACCTCCTTCTCCGATCCACCCATCTCCTTCTCCGTTCAATCAATCAATCACCTCTAAGGAGAAGCCAATTCCCTGCTTCGATCTCTCCCATCTGAACTCCGATCTGGCGGATTTAGGGTTTTTGAAGTTATAAAGTTGAAGAAAAAGTTTCGATTTTTTTTTTGGGGGCTTTTGAAACGAAATCGAAGAATGGGTGATTCAGGTGGAGGTTGGCGAGATTCGTATAAGGGTATGTCTTCTGATAACATCAAGGGTTTGGTGTTGGCTTTGTCTTCTAGTTTATTCATTGGAGCTAGCTTCATCGTTAAGAAGAAAGGGCTTAAGAAAGCTGGAACCACTGGGACTAGAGCAGGTATCTTATTATCTCTTTCTCCTTGCTTCTGGGTTTCTCGAATTGTGTATGTAGAAGTCAGAATTGTGTTCGACTGACCCAAGTAGCTAGTTTCTTTAGAAGCAGCTCGGATCTCTAAATCTGTTGAACTTCACTTTTGATAACCACATTGCTTTCAGACTTATATTTGTTGTGATTACATTGTGGGTTTTGGTTTCATGGTATAATTCAGTCTGATACTTGTAGGTGTTGGTGGGTATTCTTATCTCTACGAGCCTCTTTGGTGGATCGGCATGACAACAAGTGAGTCATGTTACTTGGCGCTGACTTTTCGATCTTCTTCTTAGTGATGCTATCAATGTTGTTGGTTAATTTTCTTGTTGGTTTCTGCTGCTTTCAGTGTTGCTTGGTGAGATTGCTAATTTTGCTGCTTATGCGTTTGCGCCGGCTATACTTGTCACTCCTCTAGGTGCAGTCAGTATCATTATCAGGTAAGGGAGTACTCGTGTCTAACTCTTCTATTAGGTTTTCTATATGCGATCCAGTCAGTGTTTTTTTCCCTTACGTATACAGTTTGTTCTCTGAATGTCAGTGCTGTCTTAGCTCATATCATATTAAAGGAGAAACTACACATCTTTGGAGTTCTTGGTTGTGCCTTATGTGTAGTGGGTTCCACGACAATTGTCTTACATGCCCCTCAAGAACAAGAAATCGATTCTGTGATTGAAGTTTGGAATCTTGCAACAGAACCAGGTGCGTTGCTTGATGGGACTGTGATGCTCTATTGTATGGGAGATAGTAATGTGAACCATCTCACGGTTCTTTCTCCCCATTTATTCAAATTTCTAACTTCAGCTAGTTTGGTGTAGCATTCATGTTTTATGCGACTCTGGTAATTGGGGCTGCTATATTTCTCATTATCCGTTTTGTACCCCAATATGGGCAGACAAACGTAATGGTCTATACCGGTATTTGTTCGCTTGTGGGATCATTATCGGTATGTAGTTTTCCATATCTTTTTTCCATATCTCCAGTTTGTAATCCTATTTTGCTT